CAAAGGATCTGACAAAATTAAATATGCAGTTGTCATGAATATATGCTAAGGATGAAAAAATGAAAAAAAATTTTTTCGAAAACTCAAAATTTAAACTACCTCGCCCATGGGCCGGCCCATGGGCGAACAGTGGCCCATGGGCCGGCCCATGGGCGAGAATGTTTAATTTCGCTCAGACTTCATGTTTTGGAGGTTGAAAATGAATGAAAGCATGTTTAGAAGTATCACCACACAAAAATTAACTCATTGTGACTTAATTCGGCTAATTTAGACCGATATTTAAATATCTCGCCCATGGGCGAAAGAAAGTTTGGCCCATGGGCGAGATTTTCTATGTTTGCTCAAAATCATGGGTTTTTTCAAGTTTGAAGGTTGTAAATGAATGAAAGCATGTTTAGAAGTATCACCACACAAAATTTAACTCATTGTGACTTAATTCGGCTAATTTAGACTGATATTAAAATTTCTCGCCCATGGGCGAAAGAAAGTTTGGCCCATGGGCGAGATTTTCTATGTTTGCTCAAAATCATGGGTTTTTCAAGTTTGAAGGTTGTAAATGAATGAAAGCACGTTTATAAGTATCACCACACAAAATTTAACTCATTGTGACTTAATTCGACTAATTTAGACCGATATTAAAAGATCTCGCCCATGGGCGAGAAAACATTTGGCCCATGGGCGAGATTTTCTACTTTTGCTCAAAATCATGCTTTTTTCAAGTTTGAAGGTTGAAAATGAATGAAAGCACGTTTATAAGTATCACCACACAAAATTTAACTCATTGTGACTTAATTCGACTAATTTAGACCGATATTAAAATATCTCGCCCATGGGCGAAAGAAAGTTTGGCCCATGGGCGAGATTTTCTATGTTTGCTCAAAATCATGCTTTTTTCAAGTTTGAAGGTTGTAAATGAATGAAATTATGTTTAGAAGTATCACCACACAAAATTTAACTCATTGTGACTTAATTCGGCTAATTTAGACCGATATTAAAATTTCTAGCCCATGGGCGAAACAAAGTTTGGCCCATGGGCGAGATTTTCTACTTTTGCTCAAAATCATGCTTTTTCAAGTTTAAAGGTTGTAAATGAATGAAAGCACGTTTATAAGTATCGCCACACAAAATTTAACTCATTGTGACTTAATTCGGCTAATTTAGACCGATATTAAAATATCTCGCCCATGGGCGAGAAAACATTTGGCCCATGGGCGAGATTTCCTACTTTTGCTCAAAATCATGCTTTTTTCAAGTTTGAAGGTTGTAAATGAATGAAAGCATGTTTAGAAGTATCACCACACAAAATTTAACTCATTGTGACTTAATTCGGCTAATTTAGACCGATATTAAAATATCTCGCCCATGGGCGAGAAAACATTAGGCCCATGGGCGAGATTTTCTACTTTTGCTCAAAATCATGCTTTTTTCAAGTTTGAAGGTTGAAAATGAATGAAAGCACGTTTATAAGTATCACCACACAAAATTTAACTCATTGTGACTTAATTCGACTAATTTAGACCGATATTAAAATATCTCGCCCATGGGCGAAAGAAAGTTTGGCCCATGGGCGAGATTTTCTACTTTTGCTCAAAATCATGCTTTTTTCAAGTTTGAAGGTTGAAAATGAATGAAAGCACGTTTATAAGTATCACCACACAAAATTTAACTCATTGTGACTTAATTCGACTAATTTAGACCGATATTAAAATATCTCGCCCATGGGCGAAAGAAAGTTTGGCCCATGGGCGAGATTTTCTTTGTTTGCTCAAAATCATGCTTTTTTCAAGTTTGAAGGTTGTAAATGAATGAAAGCACGTTTATAAGTATCGCCACACAAAATTTAACTCATTGTGACTTAATTCGGCTAATTTAGACCGATATTAAAATATCTCGCCCATGGGCGAGAAAACATTTGGCCCATGGGCGAGATTTCCTACTTTTGCTCAAAATCATGCTTTTTTCAAGTTTGAAGGTTGTAAATGAATGAAAGCATGTTTAGAAGTATCACCACACAAAATTTAACTCATTGTGACTTAATTCGGCTAATTTAGACCGATATTAAAATATCTCGCCCATGGGCGAGAAAAACATTTGGCCCATGGGCGAGATTTTCTACTTTTGCTCAAAATCATGCTTTTTTCAAGTTTGAAGGTTGTAAATGAATGAAAGCATGTTTAGAAGTATCACCACACAAAATTTAACTCATTGTGACTTAATTCGACTAATTTAGACCGATATTAAAATATCTCGCCCATGGGCGAAAGAAAGTTTGGCCCATGGGCGAGATTTACTACCTCTGCTCAAAATTCATGTTTTTTTCAAGTGCGAAGAAGGCAAATTAATGAAAACACGTTTATAAGTATCGTGACACAGTTTTCAACCCATTGTGACTTAAATTCAGCTAATATAGAGTGATATATCAAAAATTTTGCCCATGGGCAAGATTTTCTACCTTTGCTCAAAATCATGGGTTTTGTCAAGTTTAAAGGTTGTAAATGAATGAAACTATGTGACTTATTTCGGCTAATTTAGAGCGATGTAGAAAATACCACGCCTATGTTCGAAAAAGTCGACTATGGGCAAAACCGTTTCACGCACTTCTGAGCAAAATTTGGCTTTCAAATTTGTGGCTTGTGAAAAACATATCAACGTGAGTCTGTAACTATCATGACACTTGCCAAAATTCTGTCTAGGTTTTATGGTAACGAATTACTTCATGTTGTACTTACCGTGAATTTTCATTGGAAAAAAATATATAATAAATCATTGAGGATGATCATGATTTATTAATGAAACAAGTGTCACGAACACATAAACACACATTGGAGATCACTTTATGTCTGAGGGCATTTGACATGTCCGGAATTGAAATATACAAGAACTAAATGGAAGGCGATATCGTGATAAACTATATACTTAGGAACAGGCATAAAAACTAGAATGATATAGATGTCAATGTATGTTCACAAGAACTACTAAGAACATACTAGTATGTGCCTTTTTCACAATAGGTCAAAGTAAGTGAATAGGTTTAATCTGTAATCACAGAGGATCACTTCAATCAATTATATACAAACACATGTATAAATATAGATATATACACACAAATATCAATCATCTTTATTTACACAGTAATCTTTCATGCCAACAAAATACCTTAGGATAACGTTACAAAAGCTCGAAATAAAAGATTACCTCTGTACATATCTTAGTAACTAAGACTTTCCTAGATGAGCAAGAATATATTACAAACGAATTTCGCATGACAAAGAAAGCTTATACACATAAAATATCTTGCAAAAGATCGAAATGATGATCAATGTGCATATCTTGTTAACCAAGGTTTCCATTGCCTCATTAAAGTTTACAGTAACTGTGATATATGTTATAATTAGTATCTTCGTTCAGTAAGTGTCATATTTTCATACGTTCATATTCATCTTTTATGTCATATATACTTTTTTCATATTTTAGTGTTAATCAAATATGTTATATGAATTTCCCTTAGGATAATAAAATCTTATCTTATCCTATGTTATCCTATCTCTTATAGAGTTTTTCTCCAGCACTTCGAGTGTTCCCCAGTTTCTGCGCTTGTAAGAAAAAGAGGATCACATGGTAACAATGGCGTCTACAGTTGAATTGATTAATATCTCGTTTTACTGGCACCAGTACCGACTCCTAATATATCTGGCTATGTTATTAACCCAACGAGCATTTGGGATTTGCCGAGGTTTTCTTATTGACAATTTCAGTTAGCTATTGCTGTGTGGTACGTACATCTTGCACATGATCATTGATAATGAACATTCGTCATACTTATTTCTTCAATGAATGAAGAATTTATTGAAACTTGTCATTAAAATCATATGCCATGTTATATTTGCACAAGTCCTTACGGAAGCCTAATGCTTTTGAAAATCGAACACAGTGGCTACATTAATCAGAGCAAGGATCCTTGCTACTTGGGAAGGCATATATATACACACACACACACAAAGATCAATATTTTTACACAATAATTTTACATGCCCCAAATGCACATAGGATAACCTTAAAAAAGCTCGAAATAAAAGATTATCCATGTACATATCTTAGTAACTAAGGTGTTCAACGGCTTTCCCAGATGACAAGAATATATATACAGGCTAATTTCGCATGACAAAAAAAACTCATACACATAAAATATCTTGCGAAAGATCGAAATTCAAGATGATCCATGTGCATGTCTTGTTAACCAAGGTTTCCATTGCCTCATTAAAGTTTACAGTAACTGTGATGTCTACATTAACGGGGCCTACTGTTTAATTGTTTACAGGCTGCCGACACCATGAATGGCATGTTGTTTTACACTCTTTCACTTCACATGAATTTGACAGTGATTACCAAATGTTAAATTAATAGTTATGATACACAATCTTGTCAGCTACTTGGGAAGGCATATATATACACACACACACACACACACAAAGATCAATATTTTTACACAGTAATTTTACATGCCCCAAATGCACATAGGATAACCTTACAAAAGCTCGAAATAAAAGATTATCCATGTACATATCTTAGTAACTAAGGTGTTCAACGGCTTTCCCAGATGAAAAGAATATATGACAGGCTAATTTCGCATGACAAAAAAACCCTCATACACATAAAATATCTTGCGAAAGATCGAAATTCAAGATGATCCATGTGCATGTCTTGTTAACCAAGGTTTCCATTGCCTCATTAAAGTTTACAGTAACTGTGATGTCTACATTAACGGGGCCTACTGTTGAATTGTTTACAGGCTGCCGACACCATGAATGGCATGTTGTTTTACACTCTTTCACTTCACATGAATTTGACAGTGATTATCAAATGTTAAATTAATAGTCATGATACACAATCTTGTCAGCTACTTGGGAAGGCATATATATTTTTACACAGTAATTTTACATGCCCAAAAACACATGGCAAAAATACACATAGGATAACCTAGATAAGGTGTTCAGTGGCTTTCCTAGATGGGCAAGAATATATTACAGAATAATGTTACATCATGACAAAGAAAACGTATGCAACAAGTCCAAAGACATCCAAAATCTATATACACCGTATTTTCATGTGCAAACAAAATCAGTCAACAGACCTATTGCACACAGGGATCCATGTGAAGTTGAAAGCTTTGAAGGGCTCTTTAGTTGAGGTATTCTTGAATCCAGCTATTGTGTCCTCCTCTTCCTTTGGACAGACACCTGAAACATTCAAGAACAAAATCACTATAGACATCTGTCAGGAAGAATTTGAACAAGATCCTGCATATAAGTCGGAAGCAATATTTCTAATAATCCGAAATTGGAGCAGAGGTTGTTTTTCTTGAATCCTTGTGCAACTGTTCAGAATTCAAAGAAGCAACATTTGTTTTGCTGTGGCTGGGAATATGCCGAATATGCATTATGTCTATATTCTATTCCCTGATTCTCTACTGAACAAATGAATCGAATCATTTTCACATCATACTTGTTCAAATGAAGCTCATGTGTTCAATAGGGCAATCACATTGGCTTAATGTCAAGATGACTCACAAAAATACATGTTAGGAATAAAACTATGAGTCTAGATTATGTTGCATTATACATAAAAGTATGTATTCACGAACCTGGGACTTCCTGGATATTTTTCGGTGACTTTTCTGGAGAGCTGCCAACAAATTTTCTGGTAATCTCCTTTCTTCCGTTGGAGCAGCATTGAAGTTTTCAAAGTCCTTAAAATCTACTTCAGGATCAACTGTTGTGGACAGTGACTGTAGGTAGCGTCCCCAGTCATCTATTTCCGAAGGTTTAAGGCGAGCCGATTCTTTCCATTTGGGAAGATCTCTGTACATGGATCTTGTAATATCCTCGATGGTTGTACAGAGTGGCCTTACAACAGACAGATGTGGGTTCATACCTGTCAAGTTCATCGGGATTTCACGGTACATTTCATCTGGTAGAGGCCAGTCTTTGTAGGCCAAAGTAAGCTGGCTGCCTTTCATGTATATCTTGAAAATATGGGGAATAGAATGTCCTCTCAATGCATCGCAGCCGGAAAACATGGCTCTGAAATCCCAGACAGATCGTAGCAGTTCTGAATGGGAGTTCTCAGGTCTATATGCAGCTTTCAAAACTTCCAACAACTTGCCAACAGTTGGAGCGGACTTGTGGTGGAGGGCTTGGGAGAATTTTGAAAACATCTGGTCTATATCTTCGTGTGTATGACCAACCATTAGGAAGTTCAGCTTTACCTTAAAGGAATAATAATTCATTTTAACAATAACAGAATCTCTTAAATGCATTATCCGTTAAATAAGATTCATTAAAGCTATTACATATTACTTCACTGCAATTATTATGTCTTACCTTCTTGATCATTTTAGCTGCACGAGATACCCGAGGAAATATAGCATTGTCACGTTCTTGTTGTCTTTAGGGCTGTTGTCCCTTGTATGTACAACACTTCTGGAAGCCCACCTCCTTTACTCTATAGGAAAGAATGTGTCATTTAATTTTACATCATGTGAGTGATAACTAGAATGAAACCATGATATCAAATGCTGAAGCCATGGCTTGCTTAATCATGAAAGATTATTTAAGAATGTGTAACGCTGTTCGGGTTGGACACAAGGTCTGTCTTGTGTGTAGGTATTCAATTTATCACCCTTCGTTGATTGCTCGATTTGTTCGTTTAAATTATGAACAGATGGTGTAACGTATTGAATGATGTAAAGAATGATCAGAATGGTTTACTTTTGATTGATGACATATTTGTTTGCATTGATGAATATTCAATTATGCGTATGCTCATATACAAATGTACATCATTCTTAGCTAATATATACCAAACATAATATTTCCCACACCTGTGCTATCCTCTGGAGAACTGTAAGAAGAACTGTACAGGTCACGTTACAGTCTCCAGGCAGTGCAGAGTTCCACACATATGCATAGGACTTCTCATTACCATGATCCAGAACGCCTGTCACATGATGTTTCATTCGTGTTAGACCAACGTCAGCCTGTGGGTGAAATATGGATTTGTAGATAGTATTCAATACTGCTTTTATACCGTCTTCGTTTGTCAAATTGAATATAGTAAACAAAACGCTCATAAAAGTTATGCATATGTTTCAACCTAATAACTCCATTCTGAATTGGAAAGTGTACAGAATTTAAAGATCTAATTCACATCAAGTATTTTGCTCCAATCCAAAGCGTCATAAACCTTACATACGTTGAACAAAACTATTTCTACTGTTAGGATCGTTTGATAGTGTCTATGTGCCTACATAGTATATCTTAACATAAACAACATCACGTATAACAAATAACAAATGGCACACAATTGTGAGAGGCCATTTGTGGACTAAGGGGCTGGTGATGAAGCCAATACACAAGGGTGCATAAGCCAATAAACAACAAGCTGATAGGGTCTATGGTTTGATTAGTTCTTCATAGACCATTGGTATGTAGTACCCTGGGTCTTTGTTGATCAAAGGTTTATGGCGGCGGATTTCGATGGCTTCCTAACCATTTCTTTTTGTGAAGTCCTGATTCTTGGTTAAGAGGATTTCCTATTTGTCAAACTGGTTCGTAATTAGGAGATGCCAGTTGGGGACTAAGAACAACAAATGGGACTTGTAATGATAATGAAGCCAATAAACAAGAGGGAATAAGTTGTAACAAAGTTTTTTTTGGTTTTGTGAAGTCCTGATTGTTGGTGGAGAGGATTTCGAATTTGTTAAACTTGATTTGATGGGTATGGAATTTCTGTTGATGATCTGAGAGGGCTTATTTGCTGTCAGCTTTGGCAGTTGAGATTGTGTGTACAAAATGGTATCCAGGTTATAACCTGTAGAGTAAAAATACATATTAAGTCTTTTCTGAGTATAGTTACCGCAAGTAAGAAAATAGTGTAGGACGTTTTCATATCCACAAGAGCAACATGTACTGTCTATTAAATGCCTGATTTACTTATCAGCGTTTAGGTCGTCACTTCATCCGAGCCTGAGGCGGCAGTGAACGATTTGGCAAAAACGAGTGCCATAATTCAGGTCATTTTCGGTCTTTGTAATTATTTTTTTTTTAAATTCTGTGAGACTTCATGACTCTTTGGAACTTGGTAGGGCTTTCCACAAATTTGTCGGGTGAAAAGGATTTGGCATAAGAGGCAGATGTCCTTTTATGTACTTTGTATTTCTTTGTAGCTTCTAGTTCCGGAGACAGAGTTTGGGATCAGGTCACAAAGATATTTTGGGAATTGGTTATTGTACATCTTGAAGAAAAAGATGGCAATACCTTCTATATTTCTTGTAAAGTGGGACTCTTTAATGCAACTATTACCATCATATGGTGAAGGAAATATAGGATATCACGCCTCATTTACCTTGGATTGTCTTGGGAATGCTGGCAGGCTTGACTTTTGTTGATCCATGTTGTCAATTATGATAGAAGAATATTTCTCAGGGTTCTCTCGGGCTTTGGAGATGTGCCGGTAGTATTTTTCTCTTGAAAGGCTAAAATACAGTTTTGAATAATGAGTACTTCTTATTGATAACCTTGAAATCCATATTTCTTACAAACATAAAGACACACACACACATGCATACACACACTAGCGATATCTTTCAACACAGAAGAAGAAATATAGTTTATATCATACAATAGAGTGTCACATACTGCATTTCATTTAAAAGGTCATTACATTATTACAGGGATTTAAAAGCAGCATTCGGCCAAATGGCCTATGAGACACATGTAGAATCACAGTTGTATAAAAACACTGGTAATAAAATCACACCCACACATAAACACACGCAACCCCAAACATGTACACAAACACAAACGCACACACACAAACGCGCGCAAGCCTACACGCGAGCGCGCGCACACACACATTCACTTTCTCACAATAAAAAGTATAAATTATATAAATAGAAAACATTTTGATGAGTGAATGCTGTCATTGATATTAGAATAGATTACACTATTACACAGATATTAAGAGAATCTATCCTATTTTATGCTGTGAGTTAAAGTTCTAAAATTAATCTTCGCCTCGACATTGTTTAGGCGATATATTATACCTTTGTAAACATACCTTTGTAAATTGAGGTGTGCCTTTAATCCCTCTTTCAACTCTTTCTGTTCTTCTTTTGATGGCTTGCATAGCATTGCATTCTGGTAGTCCAGACAGTCTTTGCACTGTGTGAAGTCTTTACACTGCGGGGATGATAACGTATATGATCAAAATATATTATACAGATTTAACTTCACCTATATTTACAGCTATATCTTTTGTTCATAAAATCTGTATCATTTTCTGTGTCAGCGATGTTAGTAAACAGTTTAAGGAGCTTCCCTTTTCATGGTGGCACTGAAATGAAATATCAACAAACATTAACTACCTTTGGTATTGTCACGTGGTTAAAGTGTTCGGACCACATTTGTAGAAATCTGTTGTATTTCAAATAAATTGATCCATTCATGCTGAATTCTTCTTGGTATTCTTGCCAGATCGCCCTCTTCGTTAGTGTTGAAGGCAGCTGAATTTGTACCCTGTGTGGCATTGGGTCTCCAAATCTGTGAACAAATAACGGCCATGTCAGGTTCTTCGTCGACTTTTAACGCAACTAGAGTAACACGACAGCACACTTTCCCCTATCCCGATTATTCCCCATTACGATTGACAAAAACCTTTAACACATTCCGAATCACATTTAATCTGGTTCAGCTAGCACCTTCGTTCACAATCAAAACAACCTGGGATACCACTAGTACTTGACTGCTGAATACCACATCCATTACAGTTGAGATCGCGTAACACTAAAATGCCTAACGCTTGGAGAACATATATAATTCCGCCTAACAAATACCAGAAATGGACATGTTAACATCCCAATATTTATATAAATTGAATAGATATGTTATGCACTAAATATTACAGGACGAGTGGGTTTTGTGATATTTTACTACCAAATGAGATCCGATCTGATAAAGTCAACAAAGCACTTCCAATCAATCGTTCAAATATTCACTGCCTTGAGGCCAAAGTTACCTTCTGGTAAAACGGGTTAGCCAGAGCTTTGCTGCTAAAAACCGTTTTGTGTCGTAGCATAAATCTTTTCGATGATCTGGACTGGCTGTGGCGAGGCCTTTCCTGACATCTGACAGTGCGCTGTAATACCTAAGGGAAACGTATAACATGGTGTATACAGTACACTTGCAGACCAAAGGGTTACCCCTAAAAGGGACCTAAAAGGAACATACTATATAGTCCTAACCTTATAAATGTGAACAAGCAAAGAAAATAATGAAATTGCATTCCCACTGACCTTGATTTGCTAATCGCAAAGATTAGTCGCCAACACTTCGGACACACCGAATGGCCTTGAACTGTGAACATGATGTTACATGCGTCCTGTTCTTGGTAGTTGAAAGTAGCCTCTAATTGTGACATGATGTATTGTCTCTGTACATCTCGATCTTTGTCCCAAAAGTACCTTCTTTTCTCCAACACCTCAGAGCTAGTGAACTTGTCCAGACACTTCAGGTCACACGTTGTCCTAAATACCGCTTGAATACTATCATTTTCAACAGCTTTTCTCGCCTTCTTTCCTAGTATCTTGGTTTGTCCTAGAGCAAAAAAAGCAGGTGAGGACCTCACTATAGAGACATCTAAACAGTGAAGATTCCACAGATGTTATTGTGATTAAATAGCGAAGCATCTGAAAACATCCATTTTGGACAGCAGTTGTGTGATTTAAGCAAGGTAACACTTACTTGCAATTGGTTTCCTTTTCCGCCTCGGAATGACAACAGGGGGTGTTTCTGTCATTTGCACTTTCTTCATCTGCTAAGAGCAAAAATGTAATTAAAATGTAGATATGGCTTGCAGAAATTCAGCTTGGTTTAAATGTGTACGTGTAATAAACATGCCCACAGAAAATGGCAAAGTTTGCTTCTGTCTGATAAATTCGTCAGATATCTATTATATAATACATGTATATATTTAGTACGAACACAAGTATTCGATAGTATATAACACAAGCATTCAATAGTATATAATGTTACGACAAACAGAAAATACTATATTTCAGAAAATGTGTATTTTTCTGTATGGAAATACATTTCCAGCAAATAAGACTTTGATTCCTGAATATACCGTACATTAGCATAGTTCCTTTGGATTTTGAAAATTATATAACTTTGCGCAGATGATTTGACAGGTGTCCAATAACTCAGCATAGCAATAAAATCAGTACTTACATTCTGTGCAAAGCAACTCTTCAAAGTCTTGATGGTCGAATAAATCTTCTGAGAAGAGGGTATAGTCAAAGCAAATGTCATCTAAATCTGGTACAGCTGTAAAAATAACGAAATTCAGTCCTAATCTCGCTACTGAGTGGTCAGTGAAACTCGAATTTGTTTATTATATTTGGTTAAAACAATAAATGAAACATTCAACTTCTTGTTTATTCCGTCGAGCGACGTTTCGATGAAGATTCTTACATCGTCATCACTTTTAGCCTGATAACGATGTAAGAATCAACATCGAAACGTCGCCCAACGGCATAAAAATTGTGTGTTTCATTTGATGTCTCACCAACATCTAGAATGCCGATCAAACAATTAGTTAATACAATAGCTTAACTTACTACATAACAAAACAAAAGTATACAAAGTAAGTGGCCATGGATACTCGCTTCAGCTACAAATCATACTTGTGGATTTATCAAAATGGATATAAGTAGGCCTGTGGACCTTTTAACCCGTTAATAATTGTCAGGCCGGGAATGTCACATTTCAAAAATGACTCCTGCCAGGAATGCCCACATTTCAATAACATGCAATAGATTAATTACTTGGATTACCGTAACCGGTAATAGACTGTTCCCACACAAAAGAAACGTTACCCTCCTACCATCTATGAATTACTATCAAAAATATGTTAGAAGGTATTAGTTTACAAGAAAGCTTACCAACTTGTCAGCTTAACAACAAATCACGAACCAAATTCTCACACGAATTCATACTGCATCTTTTTCAGAAGAGTTAAATTGTCCTAATTTCCACCATGACGAAATAAACCAACAACAGTGATTTAGATGTCCAAAAGAAAGGTTGAAAATAATATCCTGCTTAAGACAGAGATAAACCATTTAAAGTCACAATTTTTCAATTATTAAAACAAGAAACAACTGTTTTAGACTGTAAAATTGTAAAAGAATCATTCCTATGATTTCAGTCTTTTAAAACATGTTCTGCTGATTTGAATTAGTGAAAACAAGTACAATATTGTCTTTGATATTGTGAAAAAGTGTTAAAGAAACACCGAAAATGACCTTTGCAGCAGCAAGTTTCCATACGAAATGTACACATGGCAACAAATTAAACCATTATCATTTTTAAGTTTTTCAGATTTAGATGTTTTTAATATGATGTGATAATATTATATGTAATATTAGTATATTATATTGTGCTAATTATAGAAATAAAATCTCTTGTGATCTGAATAAAATTATGAGGAAACATGTCATGTTTTGTTAAATACGGTAACCTGTTTGAATAACTAAATATGTTTTGACACCATAGCCGGGAGAGCCACATTCCATGTTCACGCAACCACAACTATTGCCGGGAGAGCCACATCAATTTTGGCTATCTGTTTCGGAAATGTGGGTCTCCCGGCCTGTAACCATTTGTGACACTAGTCGCGTGAAGTGAGGACGAGCTGTACGTTCTATTTAATAGCATTATTCAAGGGTTTTCTCCAGCCGCAATATCGCAAAAACGTATTGAGTAATATCTATAATGCAAGCGATAAATGAATTCGAATATTGTAACAATAACGTAAAGGGCAATTGCTCGTTTGTGGGTATAAACGTATCTATACAGTCACTTACCAACGCAGTCCAAGTCCTTGTGAGTTCTGGCTTCTTGATTTGAGGGGCGCCCGATAACTGCATCTGTCATGGCTTCAAATGTGATTTCTTCCATAAAGGAAATAGGGAACTAGTACATAAGTCAACATGTGCGAAATTCGCAAATCCGAAGAAACAGTTTTTCTTTTAGCAAAACAGTGATGAAGATTGTCAGAAGGAATCACTGGATATCATATATATGCTACTTCTTCATCAAGTTGTTGAACATCCGTTTCTGGTCCCTTGATGATGATGATTTGGAGATTTGACGTGCGCTCTGATGCCTTCTCCATCCCATAACAATATATAATCGGAAGACATTAAGTCACGATAAAGTGATTTCCCCAAACAGAATTCCCATTGGTCAGTTCGACATCTCATGTAATAAAACAATCAACTGGACATTACAAATGATTGTGAGATATTTAGCACGTAATGCGCAGACATGAATCTTTCGCCTAAATACCTGCACCTGCACCTGTATATCCCACAGCTAGTGTCACTTAATTGCCCAGCGTGATCAATGGAATGAAGCAAAATACACTTAAAAGCGTCGGCTCGTTTACTCCAATACACAAGACCAAACATGGGACAGACCGATTTCTTTGCTGGCGCTCGAGCTTTCCTGAAATTACGTAACTGGACCGTTCCACGCCGTGGCCTCATGTTTGCACTAAAATACTCAACAAACTGAGATGGTACACAGAAATGTACGATTGTAAACGAGATAGTGGCAAACTAAATTAACATGTTGTGGATGATAACAGCACTAACTTGAACAAGTATTTATCACATTTATCTGCAATAAATAGTTATCTGTGCAGAGATCATTTAACATAAGGCACATTTGAAACAGTAATGACGTTGCATGATGTATATGGTTATTGTTTATTTTCGGCAACCTGTGTTGGTAAACAAGCATTTTGTGCTTATTAACAATTTCAAACTCGTGATCCATAAAAACTTGTTCCATAAGGTTACAAATAAGCAAAAATGATTGACAACTCATGTGTAAATAGATTAATGAAGCATGTGTTCATAAGTAAATGAAGGAAAGATGCAATTAACAATATGATGATAAGTGCTGCAATGAAAACAAGTGAACATACCGGGACACACAAGAGTTCTAGCATTTACATTTAATATATCCATTTCAACACTTTTGCTTAAAAGAAGTCTAGACATTTCTAGATCCTATCCGTAGATGTAAAAGAAGGCATTTTTTCTGATTTTACTATATTTAGTTCAGTTGTCAATTTCTACCTCCGTAATATACATCAAAGTAAATATTACATTTATTTTGTTCTTTGAAAAGGGCGTGAAATGTCTAGCCTCGAGAGGCAGTGAATTCCAGAGTTTGATTGTGTCTGGAATGAATGATTTGGCATATCTTATTGTTGGAATATGCTTTTTAAATTAGTTCAATCACGTAAGGGATAACGACTATTATCCCCGACTAATTGGGGTAATAGATTCCACAGATAGTCCGGTAATAAACGATGATACATTTTATAAAGTGTTAGCAATTTATAGTATTTTCGCCTTTCAATCAACGAAGTTTCGCGATATATTATTTCATATCTTGTTCTACGGACAGCACCAGCTATTCTTCTAAGGACATCTAAATGTAGTTTTTCTAAAGTAAGAGCTTGCTGATCTGTGCAGTTGTCCCAAATCCAAATATGAGAGCAGTAATGAAAAGAAGGATGAATACAAGATTTGTACATGGTGTATATATGAAATGATAGAAACCGTTTTGAGCACAATCGGTTAATACTTTGAACCTACTTACCTTAGTATTTTTAATACAAATCAAGATAAACCGTTTTAAAGCAACTTACTTTGCATACATTGAATAAACGTTTCTAAATGTTTAAAGCAGGAAACAGCCGATTGGAGACCCATATCCTCATTTCGGTTAAGTGTGTGTTTAGCAATAATCTGTTATCAAATTAGGGTCTGACTCAATTCAATATACAAGACGTACATGAATACAATGGATTGACCAGCATTTCCCTGACAGCGATGATGAGGGGTATAAGAGTGGGCTTGTAAGTAACAACTTCCTTTGAAACGTCTCGTATATGCTTTTACAACTATTAAAACGTCTCATTAATATATACGACACTTGGCGACGTTCCCGTCACTTATCATTGACCGACAGTTGACGAAAGTTGGAAGGAATGGCGATGCAGTGGCAGCTTGGATCTTCGGTGCACAGAGTTCTCACATTTGGATTGTTCGGTGGAAAAGAGGAATGTCAGGTTCTGGCGTTGTATCCGTCCGTTGCGTGCCCCCAAAAAGTTACAGTTGAAGTAAGTTAATTTCTATCAGAAACTAGGCTTGTATTTGATCGTATTTATTCGAGATATGTTCATCAATGGAAATTCTTGATGCTAAACAAAATGTACGCCATGCAATCCGTGTCTACGTAAGCTCTAAAATGCACATAAATAGAGGAAAATATTGGATAATATTCGATAAGGGCGTTAATCGGTTATAAAACCTTTAATTTCCCTCGAGTGTTATGTGTTTACCATTGCAAATTTCAGCTAGACAGGTGCATCAAGGGTAATGTGAAGAAACTGAACTGCTTGGTGACGAAGTACATGGGAAATGACAGCTTCCTAGATGAGTTAATCGTGGCTACTGACGCGGCAAAATTCGCTCGGACTTTGAAGTTTTTAATGATTAACGGGAATATCAGTTTCTACAAAGGTAAGACGAACAAATTTAAGCAAATCAGTATGAGATGCTTGATGGGCATTTAGTAGGTATTGATTTACATCTTCTTTTATATTTACAACACGACGTTTCTGGGCTGCTTCTTGCCCCTTCATCAGTTGAATGACAGAATATGATTACGAGAAAAATATATATACTGGGCAAAAATAGTGAGGGATATATATGTAAATTTTGAAATTATGAATAATGATCTATATATTC